GGGGCTTGTGCTGGAGACAGGCTCTGGGCTGGGGTCCGGGCACCAGCTGCGATGCAGGCTTCAGTGCCCCGCTCCCCCCGGCTCCGTGGCAGGTGCTGGAGGAGAAGCCGTCGGGGCACCTGGTCGCCTCGCTGCAGGCCAAGGACCCCGATGAGGGCGAAAACGGGACCGTCACCTACTCGCTGACAGGTACCAGGTGGGGGGTGAGCGGTGTGACCCTGCCCCGGCCATGTCCCCATGTTCCCCCGTGTCTGACACCCCGGTCCCTGTGTCCTGTCAACCCAGCCTCCCCGACCGTGTCCGACGCCCCGGTTCCTGTGCCCCAACCTGTGCTAGTCCCTGCCCCATGCAGCATGTCCCCTTCTCTCTGCAGGGGCTTGGGCCGAGCGCTTCACGCTGCACGTGGCCACGGGGGAGCTGCGCACGGCCACGATGCTACGCCACGCTGACCGGGCCGAGTACCTCTTCACCGTGGCAGCCAGCGACCAGGGCGCGGTGCCCCGCCGCACCTCGGCCGTCGTCCGCATTCAGGTGCGCGGCCCCTCCCAGCCCCACGGACGGTGGCCGTGCACGGCTGGCACGGAAGGACGTGGCCTTTCCTGCACGCGGGGAGCATGTTGCGTGAGCTGAGGGGCCCGCGGGCAGGCCTGGCACAGCCACCTCGGGGACCCCGTGTGTGCCGCAGCCCGTCCCCCTCCACGTCCCTTGTTGGTCGTGCTGCCCAGGGTGGCCTGCGGCTGCCCGGGCCGCGTCCCCCTCAGGTCCCAGCCTGTGCGGGGGTGCAGCACCAATGACCAGACTACCGCTGCCCGAGCCAGGTCCATTGCCGGCTGGGAGGAGACAGTCCTGACACAGCAAGTGCCATGCTCATGGGGTTGCCCCCCCAGATGTGCCCACACCTTGGCCGCAGCTGTCTGCCCCCTTCCTTCTCCAGCCCCGGCAGCTCATCTGCCCCATCTGCTCCCGTGGGGCCCTGGAGCCCCAGCCAGGCTCAGGACACCGGTGCCAAGGTGCTGCACCCCTGCCTTCACGGCAGTCTGGGCTCCCCCACGCAGGGCCCGCAGCAGATGCCAGCCCAGCCGCCCTGTCCTTGCCAAGGTGGATCTGCACCGGGCCAACCCTCAGCACCGCATCCCAATGACCCCCAGCCCGCCTGTCCTCCCCGTAACACCCTGCATCCACGGTCCTGCTTCAGCTCGGGCTGGCTTTGTTACCTGGTGCGCCGCAGCCCCCGGCCCCTGGCACACCTGCATTGCAGCCCCTGCCCCATCCAGGTGCCAAACACCCCCGCGCTGCATCCAGCCCCACTGCTCCCCACCCCGATGCTCCCCCTCACTGCCCCTCCCCACCCCGCAGGTGCTGCCGTCCTCCCGAGCGGTGCCACGGCCAGACGCCACGGTGCTGACGCTGCAGCCCATGGAGGGCGTGAAGCCGGGATCAGTGATTGGGTCGGTGGCACCGACGGATGCCCCTGCACGAGGGCAGGTGACCTACACGCTGGTGGGGGGCAGTGGGGACGGCACCTTCGTGGTGGACAGCTCGACGGGCGAGATCTACGCAGCCCGGGAGCTGGACTACGAGGCGCGGGCACGGCACACGCTGCAGGTGAGCGCGGAGGACACGCAGCGCGGCTACCCCGCCAGCCGCCTGGTGCTGGTGCAGATTCTGGTGCAGGACCGCAACGACCAGGCGCCCACCTTCCCCGAGGACCCCGTCACCATCGTGGTGCCCGAGAACACGCCGGCCGGCGCCTCCGTCTTCACCTTCCAGGCGCTGGACGGGGACGGGGCCGGCCCCAACAGCCAGGTGCGCTACACCCTGCTGCGCCAGGAGCCCTCCGGTGCCTCCTTCCAGCTGGACGCACACTCGGGCACCCTGAGCCTGCTGCGGGCGCTGGACCGCGAGACCGCCGCGTCCTTCCTGCTGGTGGTGGAGGCCACGGACCAGGCGCGCAACGCGAGCCAGCGCCGCTCAGCCGCCGTCACCGCCCGCGTCTTTGTGACGGACGAGAACGACAACGCGCCCACGTTCCTGTCGCCCAGCGCCGTGCGCGTGGTGGAGGACCAGCCCACCGGCTTCGTGGCCCTGCACGTGGTGGCGCGGGACGGCGACCTGGGCGAGAACGGCCGCGTCAGCTACGCGCTGCGGGCCGGCAACGCCGACGGCCGCTTCCACCTCAACCCCAGCACCGGTAAGGGGCTTGCAGGGTGGGGGGGTCACGAGGGCCTGCAGAGTGGGCAGATGGCCACGGTGCTGGAGCAGAGGTGGTGGGGGGGCACATGGGCAAACCAGGGATGAATGGGGGCCGGGGTCAGGGGGTCACAGCGTCGGGGGGGCCTGGCTGCCCAGCACGGGAGGTGCTGGGGCGGGGGGCAGTTGTGGCCCGGCTGACTCGACCATCTTGCCCCAGGCTCAGCCCATCCCTGGTGACCCCCTGCCCCCAGCTCAGCCTGACCCCATGACCCCGCTGCCCTGCTCAGCTCCCCCCCTGAGGCTCCCCCCTCCTCCCCAGGTGCGCTGTCCATCGTGCGGGCGCTGGACCGCGAGGAGGTGGCGCAGCACAACCTGACGGTGGTGGCCACGGACCACGGCTTCCCGCGGCACTCAGCCACGCAGCTGCTGTCCGTGCTGGTGCTGGACGTCAACGACGAAGCGCCCGTCTTCGCCCAGCCTGACTACGAGGCCGGCGTGCGCGAGAACCTGCCGGCCGGCACCTCCGTGCTGCAGGTCCAGGCCACCGACCGCGACCTGGGTGAGTGCCGGGGGTGGGCAGTGGTGCCTGCGGCGCCCATTGCGGGCGTCACTGCCTTTGCTAGTAGTGGCCCTGTCACTGCCCCTTGTTGTGTCGTAGCAGCTCCCCTCCCCTGCCTTCCTCCCCCACCCCTGCCCCTGACCGCAGCCCTGGCCTTGCCCCCGGGGGGGTCCCCACGGGCCCTTCGCAGCTCCCCACCCCTCACCCAGGGTCTCTCTGCAGGTGCCAATGGGGAGGTGAGGTACGGGGGCCTCTCCGGGGGACCCTTCTCCATCCACCCGCAGACTGGGCTCATCACCACCACGCGGGCCCTGGACCGGGAGGAGCAGGAGCTGCACGTGCTGACGGGTACAGGGCCGACGCAGGGTCCCCAGACACGAGGGGAGGGGGTCACCAGGGCGGGGGCGATGGGAGCTGGGGGGCCTGGTCTGCAGCTCCCGCCTCCCCGCAGTGTACGCCCGGGACAGCGGCCTGCCCCCCAACGTGGCCAAAGCAACGGTGCGCGTCCTGGTGGGGGACGAGAACGACCACGCGCCCCGCTTCGAGAGCCAGTCCTGCTCCATGGAGGTGCCCGAGAACGAGAGCCGTGTGATGCTGCACGTCCTGCGGGCGACGGACCCCGACACCGGCGAGAACGGGCGCCTGGAGTACTACGTGGAAGGTGAGCCGGGGGTGCCAGCGCCCCCACCCCTGCCCCCCACCGGCTCCTGCGTCGGGCAGCCGCTCTCCCCTGCCTGCCCCTGCGAGCTGGAGCCGCCTCTGCCCAGCTCGGGCATCTGCCCCGGCTAGGTGGGCCCTGCTCCGCAGCGGTGTCTGTGCTCACCTGCCAGCCCCTCCCTTATCCCGCAGACGGGGACCCTGCCCAGGACTTCAGCCTGGACCCAGCCTCGGGCATCCTGTCCACTGCGCGCAGCCTGGACCGGGAGCACACAGCCGCCTACGTCCTGACCGTGGTGGCGCGTGACCACGGGATGCCGCGGCGCAGTGCCACCACCACAGTGCACGTGCGGGTGCTGGACCTCAATGACCACGCACCACGGTTCGCTGAGGCCACCTACGCCGTGGAGGTGCCTGAGGACCTGCCCGTGGGCGCGCTGGTGCTGCAGCTAGCGGCGCAGGACCCTGACGAGGGCACCAATGGGCGCGTCTCCTACTACTTGGGCAATGAGTCGCTGGGCACCTTCCAGGTAGACCCAGAGAGCGGGCGCATCACCAGCGCCCAGGCCCTGGACCGCGAGCGCCGCCCCAGCTACAGCTTCCTGGCCACGGCCGTGGACTCGGCGCCCTGGGAGCCCAAGAGTGCGGCCGTGCGTGTGACGGTGACCGTACAGGACGTGAACGACCACGCGCCCGCCTTCCTGCAAAGCCCCCTCACCATCACTCTGCCACACCACACGCCGCCCAAGCAGGTGGTGGCCACGCTGCGGGCTGAGGACCGGGATGCGGGCGCCAACGCATCTGTGCTGTACCGCTTCGCCGCCCCCACCCCCGGCTTTGCCATCAACTCCTACACCGGCGCCATCCAGCTGCTGCAGCCCCTGAGCTCGCTGGGCCCCCGCCAGCGCACCCTCTTTGTTCTGGCCACTGACCAGGGCCAGCCAGCATTGTCCTCCACCGGCGTGGTGGTCATCCGCCTGCAGGACGAGGGCGACCGCGGCGTGCGCTTCCCCCGCAGCACCAGCGAGGTGGCCCTGCCCGAGAATGCGGCCGCTGGTGCGCCACGCGGGCACACGGGTCTGGGTTGAGGGGAGCAGGAGCTGGGGGAGGCAGGACGAGGGTGGCCTGGGTAGGGGGTGCATGGCACACAGCACTGCAGAGCTAGGGGAGCAGCTGAGCATTGGGGGTCGAGGACAGTGGGGCTGGGGGCCGCAGTCGTTAATGATGCCAGGCATGGCAGAGCCAAGGACAGAAACCCAGACTCCTGCTTCTGAGCCCCCAGGTCTCCCAGAGCAGGAGAGATCCCAGTGCCCCCCCACAGCCCCACTGCAGCCCACCAGATATCCTCCCCTGGGGCAGCGGTGTGGCCTAGGGTGCCCCGGGGGTGGGCAGTGCCGCGGGAGCTGTGGGGCCCCGGAGTGCCCGTGCCCTGCTCCCATGGTATTGACGCTCTCCCCTGTCACCAGGCACCGCGGTGGTGACCGTCCAAGCCATGCACGCGGGCGGCTCCTCAGGGCGCATCACCTACAGCATCGTTAGCGGCAACGAGAGGGGCACCTTCCTCATCCAGCCCCACTCAGGTATGGCGGTGTGGGGGGGGAGGGCAGCCACCCTGCATACGTGTGTGCATGCATGTGTGTGCCTGCAGGCACCGGTCCTGAGCTAGTCCCGGGGGTGCAGGCATGTATGCATGTGCACAGCCGCAGGCACCTGTGTGTATGTGCACACATGTACGTGTGTGCGCAGCCCCTGCCCTGTCCCCGTGGGTGTGTGCAGCTGGTGAGTGTGGATGTGTCGAGTCCCCCCAGGACCCCGTCACCCCTCGGGTGGCTCCGAGGAGGCCCCGTCCCGTCACACGGCTGCAACATCCCTGCAGCTTGGTGAGGAAATGTTCCCACCCGGAGCCCAGGGCTTCCCCAGGAAATCCTCTCCCCACGCTTCCTGCTCCCGTGTGAGAGACCAGGTCATACAAGGAGAGGCTGAGACACTTGGGACGGTTCAGCCTGGAGAAGAGAAGACTCAGAGGGGTCTCGGTAGCAGCCTGTACACATACCAGGGCCTGGGGGAGCAGCTATTCACCAAGGCCCCCCAGGGGAGGACTAGAAAGAATGGACACAAACCGATTGAAGTTCGCTTCAGACATAAGGACAAACTTCTTGACAAGCCGAGTGCCGAGGGCCTGGAACAGGCTCCCCCGGAGGTGGTACAATCACCCATCCTGGAAATCTTCAAAAAGCATCCGGACGCCCGTCTTGCTGGGGTCATTTGTCCCCAGCGTCTTTCCTGCCCAAGGGCTGGGGGGCTGGACCCGATGATGTGCCAGGTCCCTTCCAGCCCCTAACATCTATGAAACTATGTGAACCGCCTGCACCCCGGCATGGTCTGGAGGCCTGGGAGCGGCGGTAGTACAAGGCTAGTGCTGCCTTCGGCTCATGTCGCCTCCCGGCTACACTGCTGCACGTGCCCCTCGCTCCTGCCAGCCCTGCACCCAGCCTGCCCCCGCGCCCAGGGCTGAGTGCTTGCCCCCGAGGCCCTCAGACCCTCCCAGCACTGTGGTCTCACCCCCTCCATGGGTCATCTAGCCGTGCAGGGCTGGGCCGGTGTGTGCAGACAGGTGAGCCCGTGGGGGTGGACACCACCTGCCTGTGCCTGGGGGTGACTGAGGCTGACACAGAGCATGGTCCTGGTGCATGGGGGCTAGGGTGCAGGGGTGTGCTGGGGGTATGTGCCAGTCACCGTATGCATGTGGGGGGACAGGTCAGTGCATGGCCCCTGCTGGTGCATGCGTCCGTGCGCAGATACCTGGATCTGGCCGTCTCTGGCCCCCATGCAGAGCTGTGTCCGGGGCGGGCAGGGATGCAGAGGCTGGAGTCTGGCCTGGCACAGGCACGCGGGGCAGGAGGGACGGGGGAGGCACATCCCTGCCTGGAAATGCCTGGCCTGGACCCTCCCAGGCCGTGTTTCTGCTCCGGAGCCCTGCAAGCCACCCTCACACCCAGAACCGGACCCTACCGTAGACAAAGCCAAGGACGCATCTCCTGCCACGGCCGGGCCGGGCCGGGCCGGGCGCAGCTCTGCCTCCCCCTCCTGCAGCTGCGTCGGTGCCTGTCCAGCCCCTGCCCTGGGCGCAGGGTCCTCCGGAGCTCCCGGTGCCAGGGTGGGGGCTGCTCTGGGGCGTCCTGCCACCGCTCTTCCCCGCACGCTCTGGGCATCGCTGCTGCCGGACGCCCCCTGCCCAGCACCTGCGCAGCCTGCGCTGGGACCCGCGGCGAGGCAGAGCCCCCCGTCCCTGGGCGCCCAGCCCACGGCCTCCCTGCTCTGATGGAGGTGTGTCTGCTGAGATCCAGCCTACACCTGCTTTGCTGCAACCTCAGGCCCTTGCTGCGGGCCCAGCTCTGAATCAGTGGGAAAAAAAGGGTTTTCCCTTTTCTTGCTGGCAGCCCCTCAGGGATGTGCAGGCTGCTGTCGTGTCCCCTCTTCAGCGCTTTTCCCCCCAGCTGAACCTGCCCGGCTCCTTCAGGCTGTCCTCGCAGGACTTGTTTTCCAAGCCCCCGATCATCTTTGCTACCTGCTTCTCGACTCTCTCCAATTTTCCCTGGTCTTGTAAAATGTGGAGCCGCACCCAGGATCCAGACAGGCCGGACCAGGGCCGAGCAGAGAGGCGCCGTCACCTCCTGTGTCTTGCAGCTGATGCCTCTGTTGGTGCATCCCAAACCGCGCCGGCCGTTCGTGCGGCTGCACCGCGCTGCAGACTCCCGCGGAGTCTCTGCTCTACCAGGGCTCCCGAGTCCTGCCCCGAAGAGCTGCCGTGCCGCCTGCGGTCCCCCGCTCTGTGTCTGTTATTGACTCTTTCTCCTGCGCCGCAGTACTTCGCATTTGTCCACACTGAACTGCCACCCATTAGCTCCAGCCCAGCTTTCCAACCCATCGAGATCCTTCTGAATCGCACTCGTGTCCTTCCCAGTTTCACGTCATCCACAAACGTGCTCCAGAAGCTTCTTATGTTGGTGTCCAGCTCGTTAACAAACCCACTGACCAGCACCAGGCCGCCGTGGGGCTCCGCTCGAAGCCTCCGGCCGTGCTGACGTGGGTCCATTTATAGCAGCCCTTGGCTCGCAGCGAGCGAGCCAGCTGTCTGCCCAGCTCATAGCAGCGTTGTCTAGCCCACGTTTCTCCAGTTTGTTTCGGAGAAGGCTGCGTGGGGTTCGGACAAAATCCTTGCTGAAGTCCAGATACGCGAGAGCCGCAGCGTTCCCGTCCTCTGCCTGGCCAGAGCTAGTTGAAGGAGATCAAGTTTGTTTGGCCTGTTTGTCCTTAGCAAATCCATGCTGGCTGCTTCCACCAGCCTTTGCTCCTCCAGATGCTTGCAGATGGGCTTTCTGAGACTCTGCTTTGGGACTCTGCTCTGCTTTCCTATGTACTGAGGCATGGCTGAGCAGTTTGCAGTTCCCTGGGTCCTTCTCCTTGCCCTTTTCCAGCCCTCTGGTACCCTGCCGTCTCCCTGGACGGGTAATTCCTATTGGCACGGGCTTCGGGGTCCCCTCCGCCAGTGCCCTCGGTGCTGATAAGCTGAGCTGCCCTTCCACTGGCAGCCGTGGGCAAGCATGCGGGAGCCACTGCCCAGGCTTGGGTGCCTTGGAGATGCGGCCTGAGGCCTGGAGGTCCCTGGAGCTGGCAGGGTGCACAGTGCACGGGGTGGGAAAGGGCTGCATGCAGTGGCCAGTGCTGCTGCGGTGCCGTGGTTGACCCCGCTGGCGTCTTCTTGGGGTGGTGGCCTTGGGCCAGCTTGCCCGTCACTGAGGGGCAGTGAGGAGGAGACTAGCGGCTGTGGTCTATTGTCCATGGTACCAGGCTCTGCGGGGGCTGCAGGCTCCCCGGGGGGACGGAGGGGTCCTTCCACCCCCGCCCCAGGGGCTGGAGCCAGCTCAGGCAGCTCCCCTGGTTTGGCCTGTGCTACAGCTCGGAGGAACTTGTGTTTCGTCCTGTCTGCAGCAGCTCGTCCGCTGTCCGTGTCCATTGCTTCTCGGCCTCTTGTGGGCTAAGGTCAAGTGGACGTGCGCTGGTCTGGTACCTGAGCTGAAATGGATTTAAATGGCCGTGTGTAGCGGAGGGCGCCCTCCGGTCCAGTGCAGACAGGACTCCCTTTGAGAGCCTCATAATTAGCTTCCCGCTGGCCAGTTTCCAGTGGGAGGATCTCAGCTGCACGGCGTCTTTATGGGAAGGGGGGACTCCTCCTTAGCTTGCTTCTGCGGCCATGGGCTGAGGGCAAGTGAAACTCGGGGACATCCAAACCCCGAGCCTCCAGGCTTCGGTCTGCACGTAGGATGCTTGCTGATGGGTTTGGAAGTACCTGAAGCCCCAGGTTGGAAAGTCTGGGGCGGAGGAGACTTGCCAGTTGCAGCACTACATACGGTTTTTGAATGATTGAGTTTTGCTTAATCAAAAGGATTCGGACCTGATCTGGCTTATTTGACCTGGGACACCAAAATTTTTCCGAAGAAAATAAAAGCTTGTCCACTGTCCACGCCTGGCTTGATCGTGCGGCGGTCAGCAAGCCGGTGGCAGGAGGGGACAGCTGGGAGGCGGGAGAGCCGTGCTCATGATGCCAGTGGTGCCCTGCATCCTCGTGACCACATCGTGGTCGTGGTCTGTCGCGGGGACCGCTCTGTGCCGCGGAGGCCCCGGTGTCGCCGGTGAAGCACCCGATTCTGTCCCGGGCCCCGCTGTGTCCATGCGATGCTGCCGGCCCCGGGCGCAGGGAGAAACGCAGCAGCAGTCGCCAGGTCACGGGCGCTGCGGGGGTGGAGGGGTGCCCGGCGAAAAGGCCGAAGCACGCGGGGCCGTGGCACATAGCGCCTCCAGTTTCATGCCCTGCCCCGTCTCACAGGGACCATCTCCGTGCGGGACTCGAGAAGCCTGGACTTTGAGGCCAGCCCGCGGCTGCGCCTGGTGGTGCAGGCCGAGACGCCGTCCGCCTTCGGCTTCACCGCCGTGAACCTCAACCTGCAGGACGTGAACGACAACCTGCCGCGCTTCCAGCTGCAGAACTACGTGGCCTTCATCTGGGAGGCGCAGGGCTACGACTCGCCCGTCATCCAGGTAGGGCCGTCCCGGCGTGGCGCGGGACCTGGCAGCCCGGGACCCCTCACCAGGACCAGGCTGGCACAGGCGGAGCGGGGTCCGAGAGCCAGGCTGGCTGCGGGAAGCGCGTGCTGGGCAGGGGCTTGTTAGCCTGAGCAGGAGGGGAGCAGGGCTAACCTGGGACCATATCCGCCCCGGGGCTGGGGCTCTCGGTCAGCTGTGTCCTGCTGCCCCTCCATGCCGCTCCACAGGTCCTGGCTGATGACCTGGACCAGGGGGCCAACGGGCAGGTGACCTATGCGATCAACCAGTCGCTGCCCATGAACGGGCTGTACCACATCGATGCCCAGACCGGGGCCATCACCACCGCTGCCATCCTGGACCGTGAGATCTGGTCCCAGACACGGTGAGCGCGGGTGCCCACGTCCAGCTGTGAGGGCCGTGCTTGCCCGAGCCCGGGGCTGAGGGTCTGGGGGCCGCGGGCCTGGGCATGGTGTGCGGCAGCCCAGTGCCAGCGTCACGGCGCTGGTGCCATGGCCCTGCCTCTCCCTGCAGGCTGGTGTTGATGGCGGTGGACCGCGGGAACCCGCCCCTCGTGGGCTCGGCCACGCTGACCGTGGTGGTGATGGATGTCAACGACAACAGCCCCACCATCCCGCTGCCCTGGGAGGTGCGGGTGCCCGAAAGTAAGTGGGGCAGGACAGCGGGCGGCTCGGGCAGTCAGGCCAGGGTGCCCCTGAACATGCCCGTGGCGGTGGTGCATGCTCAGTTCCCAGAGGGCTGAGCCCCATCCTGAGCCCGGTTCACGTCTCCCTGAGCTGTGGCCCAGAGCGTGGGGAGGAGGGAGGGAGGACAGTAAGGCACTCACAGCTTCTCCCCACAGACACGCTGCTGGGCACCGAGATCACCCAGGTGACAGGGAACGACGTGGACTCGGGTCCAGCCCTGTCCTACGCACTGGTGCTGGACGGCGACGCGGCTGGCACCTTTGGGGTCCTGCGCTACAGCGGCCGCATCGCCCTGACGGGGCCCCTGGACCACGAGCAGCGCAGCCGTTACGCCCTGACCGTCCGCGCCTCGGACTCCCGCCACGAAGCCGAGGCCAACCTCACCGTCATCGTGGAGGACGTCAATGACAACGCCCCTGTCTTCAGCCAGGGCCTCTACCAGGTACCGCCCTGCCGGCCCCGCACGTATGCGCACGCATGTGCACATGGACATGCACGCTGGGGTCTCTAGCAAGTACCGCAGGCTCCACACATGCACACACACACTCACATCAGGGTCTCTAGCAAGTTCTCCAGGTCTCATGTACAGGCACACATGCACAGAGCCTAGGATTACATGCTCTGGAGGCACACGCCAGACCCCAGTGAGTACTGCAGGCTTCATGCATACACTAAGCCCCATTATGCACTGCAGGCTTCAAACATGTGCATGTGCATCTCAGGTCAATAGCACGGAAGTGCTGCAGGCTTGGCTGCACCAGCCACACTCATGTACATGTACACGCTTGCGTGTGTGCACACACTCCGGGCACTCAGCTCCCACAGCGCTGGCCCAGCACTGCCCAGCATGGGCACAAACTGCACACGTGTCTGCGCGCACGCAGGAGCCTCTCCAGGATGTTGTGGGCATCCTGGCAATGGTGCATCCCTGGGCTCTGCCAGCACCGAGCCTCTTGGGCGGCACCATGTCCAGTCTCACCCATGTCCCCAGCTGCTGCCCAGCCAGGCTGTGGCCCCGTCAGTCCTTGCATGGGCGAGGGTAACACGATTGTGCCAGGCACTGCAGTGAGTCAGACGAGGGGTTGGGCTGATGGCCCCGATCAGTCACGGCACGCGACCCCCAACCTGCCCCAGGGTGGCAGGGGCATCTCTGCTGTGGCCAGACTGGGGTGTGAGGGTGCCGGGTCTGCCACCCGACCCCTGCGCACCTCCAGAGCTGGACCGACATTAGCAGGGGAGGGGCTGTCCCAGGTGTGCCCCAGACCCTCACCACGCCGGGCCCCTCTGCACTGCCTTCCAGGTGACCTTGCTGGAGCACACGCCCGCGGGCAGCGCCATCCTCACTGTCAGCGCCACGGATCGTGACTCCGGCAGCAACGGGGAGTTCACCTTCCACCTGGCCACGCCAAGCGCCGGCGTCTCCATCGACCCCAGCAACGGTGCGTGCGGGCTGGGGCTCAAGGCTAGGGCTGGGGCCAGGGCAACTCCGTCCCACTGGGA